GCTTCCGGTCCAGACCAACACTCGCCTAGGTAGATTTGAGATGGACAGTGGTAAGTCTCATGTAACTCATTCCTTGTAGTTTACTCAAAACAATTTAAATTTCGTTTGTTGACAGAGATTCGTAACCATACGGGAAAGCCAATTTTCATGGATGATTAATTCAGTTTCATAGTTTTACTCAAATTTTTTCCGTAAACTATACCATCATCAGACTGAAAATACATACAAAATTAGGAGCTTAAATAGTTACAGCTAACTTGTATGCTTGTTCATCAGTGTTTCGGATATTACTCCAAAAGCCAGAACCAGATGATAATTTGAGAACATAAAAATGAAAGACAGACCGAGTAGATTCATCGTGTAAGCTCCTAGTTTTGTATGTATTTTCAGTCTGATGATGGTATAGTTTCGACCGAAATAAACCTGTCACTTAACATCGTGGTTTTCTGTTCATTAGTTGTCAAAATTTAAAGACACGATGAATCTACTCAGTCTATCGTTCATCTTTTACGCAGGTACTTGTTCGGATCGGTCATTTGGTTGCAGTTCCCAATAATCAAGTCAGGTAAATGGCGTCTTGTTTACGCACTCGATCATATTTTTTTTTCAAATTGTAAATCTTGTTGTTGCGAAGATATTAAAGTCGGCATCGTGGATTACGTAGCCTGCAACAGTGAGAGCCCCGTTGTGGTTTCACATAAGTGAACAACTCAAGGGTGAAACAATAAATAAAAGCCACAAAGACCTTCGACTGTTGTGGGTTTACAAACGACATAGTCAAGTCGCGAAGGTCAAACTTATACAATTTTACTATTGGATACTTACCAAAGTGTTGAAGGCTAAAATAGTTGTACTTCTTTACTTTGGCCGCCTTAGCGCATCTGCAAACCAAATCGATCATATATTTGTCCCAGTTATTCCAATCTATGGTCTTCCCGCTGAAGACCTTACTACGTGAGTCGCGATCAGTAAAAAGCAGCTCTGGTAATGGGCGGGGTTTCTTTCTGTCATCTTTGAAACAACCTAACTTGGTATAATTGACAGTGCAGCCTGAAAAACAAGTACAAGCACAGGTTTGTTTGCCGATCAAAAGCAATGAGAGTTGTTGTAATTAGAATAAAAGGCAACTCGGGAAAATTTCAGCTGTGGGAATTTGTAGGAAAGCCGTGAGTGATACTTAAATTAATGGTCAGTGTTCACCTGCATGAAGCAATTAACAAGGCAGCATTGACTTAATATTGTCTTAATATTGACTTAATATTATTATTATTGACTTAATATTGTCCCTCGATAGAAAAATATTATTGAAAATATTTTGAAATGTCTAAAAAACATTTTAGCTCTTACAGATAAGTTAGTAGTATAACCAGTACCTGGAGTTGCTGGGTTTGGTGTCACGGAGGAAGACACGACAGGTGTGGCTGGGTGACTGGGAGTTGGCTCTGAAAAAAAGTGAAGTAGGATTTTTCATTGTCAATATGTCGAAGATAACGAAACTAGAGTCCAAATAAGTAAGTCGATAGGACATCATTGGAAAACCAAGCTCATTCTACCTGTACGAGAAACCCACAGCAGGCAAAAACTGCTGTTGAGATCTTGTTTGTGGTCATAGATAATTCGATGCAGTTGATTTCGATGATTTTTTTTTTAAGATTGAACAATAGAACTGTTTGAGCCGTTCAGTGCAGCTATCTTATTTCGTGTTAAGAGTGGAGTTAAAGAGCAGTGACTCATGACTTACCGGGTTTAACTGGTGATGTTGGAGAAGGAGGCTGGGTCGAGGTTGATACCGTTACTAAGGAACAAGAAATGGTACGTATACGATAAACATTTTGTTGAAATGCTCCTTTTTTGCAGTGACCACTCTTCCTACTACTTCTTCGCGTCATAAAAACAATTTATCCTTGCATTCAACGAGGTGAAATGAAACACGATGGCATCCAATTGTAATTTTTGTTGAAATAGTATCTCAAACACTATTGTGTTATCGCTGATGAAATGAAAAAGATGAAAATTATCAGTTATCAGTTAGTTATCGCTCAATCTTTTCTCGTTTTTCTTTTCATTTCTTTTTCTCATTTTTCTTTTGATGCTTGGATACTTCCGAAAGGAAGATTTTCCTTTATACCTGATGTCACCGGTGGAGTAGTAGAGGGAGTCTGAGTTGGAGTGGTCACCGGCACTGTGAAGCAAAGGAGTCACAACTGCTTGAAACATGAACTTTTAGACAACAAGGTTAGACGCTGTAGTTCTCCAGCGAAAAACACAAGAGATTTAGTCAATTTGTCCACAATCGATTATTGTAACAAATAAACCGATTTTTAAGACTTTTTAAGACTCGAGCAAAGCAAACATTAATTTTTCCAGACACCCAAAATTCTTAATCCGAACTTCTTAAGAAGACAGGTGATAAAGTAACAGACGTATTTTGGAACATTTCATATTCTAAGTAGGCTGGCATCGTGTCAATACATGACACGGGCTAATGCGAGTGTTACTCTTGTACCTGTTACATCAATTCCATAAACAAAATTGATGTTCTTGTCGCCGACACACTCTTGTTTGTTGCTAGGATCACATTTCTTGAAACCTTTGGTAACACACTTATCAGAACTTCCAGCCCGATTATATGTCTCTCCAGCTTCCGGTCCAGACCAACACTCGCCTACATAGATTTGAAATGGACAGTAGTAAGTCTTATGCACTTCATTGCTCGCAGCTCACTCAAATACAGTGAGCCAATCAGTTTAATATTGTGTATGCTGACAGAGATTCTTCCCCACAAACGAACAACCAATGTTAACTGACGATAACTTTTCATTGTTTTACTCAAATTATTTCTATTATTAGGGTGAGAGAGTTAGGGCCCGGGTTTCTTTCTACAGCGTCTGGTCAGGTGTGAGGTGAGTTTGTTGTTGAGTCCCGTCATTCAAGCGAAACACTATTCATCCCATCATAGCAATTAGTCTCCTAATCACGTTGCACTTCCTAAGGATTAAGTAAGTAAATGGCGTCCTTCTTACTTACTCGATTACTCGCTCACATTTTACTGAGTTTCACAACTTTTTGTTGGGAAAAATTTTTGTTGTTGGTATGCTAGATTAAGCCTGAAACAGTGAGAGACCTCTTCAGTATTCCCAAAACCGATACACCTTTAATAGAGCTGAGGGAAGGAACAAGAAAACAAACTCATAATGAAGATCTCTGACTGTTTTGGATATACCAACGCCATATTTTAGTTGCTAAGGGTCGGTCACATTTTTAAAGTTTAATAATTGGATACTTACCAAAGTACTGAAGGCTGAAATAGTTGTATTTCTTTGCTTTGGCCGCCTTAGCGCATCTGCAAACCAAATCAATCATATATGTGTCCCAGTTATTCCAATCTATGGTCTTCCCGCTGAAGACCTCACTACGTGAGTCGCGATCAGTAAAAAGCAGCTCTGGTAATGGGCGGGGTTTCTTTCTGTCATCTTTGAAACAACCTAACTTGGTGTAATTGACGGCGCAGCCTGGAAAAATAAGAACAAACACAGTTTGGTTTAGAAAATCAAAAGCAATGAGAGATGCGGTGGCTAGAATAAAAGACGACTGGGAAAAATTTCAGCTGCGGGAATCTGTAGGAAAGCCATAATTGATACTTATGGATCAGTGGTCATCTGCAGGTAAAAAATAACAAGGAAAACATAAGCCTAATATTTTTTAATTTTTTTTTTCGCGAAAATATTTCGTTGCTGATGTGACGCCTCGTTTCGTCTAGGCTAAGAGACTCATCAGAAACTTTTTATAAATTTCCAGCAGACTAGTCGAGCATCGCGCTCAAAGTCCTATTCGCGAAGTTAAAATAAATTTTATTCCTGGATTAAAATATTGAAAAATTAGATTGATTTTGAATCCTCAGTGAAACGTCTAGCCCCCTAGAATTCAAAACGGAGTTAAACCAGTACCTGGTGCTTCTGGCTCTGGTCTCATCGAAGAGGACACTGTAGGTGTGTTCGTTGAGCGACTGGGAGTCGGTTCTGAAAAACAAAAATTGAGATTAGAGTCCAAAATTTTCAGTCAATCGCACATGATTTTAAAAAAATACGTTCTATCTACACAAGAAACGCACATCAGGCACAAATTGTTTTTTAAACTTGTTGGTTTCCTACTTTAAGCTCTGTGAAATGAACATCCTTCATTACAAAGCTTCAGCTCAAATTTAATATGGACTTACCTATCTTGGTGCAGTTAGCGCTACAAGTGGTTACCACACTGGTAGAGGTTGCTGTCAGTGTCTTAGTTTGTGTTAATGTTTGGTTGTGAGTGTTGGTCAAAGTCTGTGTCAGGACTGCTGTACTGGTTGCCGTCATTGTTTCCGTGGTCTTAGCAGTGCTTGTTGCTGTCAAAACAGCAGTACTGGTGGCTGTAGCTGTAGATGTTGTCGTAGCAGTAATAACATTTGTGGCATTATACGTTGAAGTTGAAGTTTGCGTTGCCACTGTAGTCAGAGTTTTAGTTAGTGTTTTTGTCGCGAGATGAGTGGTATTAACGGTGTTTGTTGTAGTGGCTGTGGTCAGTAAAGCGCTTGTTGTAATTCCTGTGCTAGTAACTGTGTCTGTTTTAGTCGTTGTTAAGGTGTGTGTGTTAGTTTTGTTTGCAGTACTCGTCACAATGTTTGTAGTTGTTGCTGTCGTTCTTATCACATCTGTAGTAGTCATAGTATGAGTGTCAGTGGTATTTACTATCCTTGTACTTGTAGTTGTCAGAGTCTTCGTGCTGGTTACTGGCTGGTGACTCGTTAATACAGCTGTGCTTGTTTCTGTGGTGTGATAAGTGCTGGTGGCTACTTGTGTATTTGTAGTAGTCAGAGTAGAAGTTGCAGTGACAACATCTGTCTGTGTGTGGGTCTGTGTGGTCAGTGCTGTATTTGTTGTTCTTTCAGTGTTCGTTATGGTAGCAACTGCTGTACTTGTTTCTGTTTGAGTGCTGGTTGATACTAAAGTTGTTGTATCAGTCGCTGTCTTGATAACTGTTGTTAGGCATGGGCCATGTGTAGAACATGAATTGTTGGTGGATGCTGATGGAGCAGGAGGAGGAACACAAGTCGCATAAATCGAAGCTTGAACACAAACCAAAGGAAACTTGCATTCGGGAAATAGACACTGAGAAGGAGGCTGCGGAATGGGTGCAGGATAGGGAGCTGGTGGAGGTTGAGGTGCAGGCCAAGGAGGAGGTGTAGGTGCAGTGGGTGGTACTGATGCTGCTAACGTCACTGGTTTTGTACTCTTTTCTTGAAGAAGATATGCCGAAGCATTAAAAAAAATGTAACAGAAATAAAGCTAGAATTTATCCTGATTTATCACAACTGAGAGTTTTTCGATGAGCCCAGCTAACTGGTATCTTACGAAAGTAAAACATCAACATTTCAATAAAAATGGAATTAAAAGAACTCGTGAATCATAACTTAAAAAGTTTCTTAAGAAATTCCAAACGAAGCGTCGGTTGACAGGAAGGTTGGTGTAGGTTCAGCTTATTAGCAGACTATTTTGCAGCCGAGTTGTATTCAAAAAGCTAGATTGAGAGAGGAACCGACGTCTTAAACGAGAAAGTCTAATTTAAAAAATAAGTGAATTAATTTCCAGGAGCAGATAATCTTGTGCTCCATCGCATTAATGGCCTCCTTCATTAATATACTTTAAAATTTCGTCAATCTTTGACCTCTCTTCCTCTTTCGAATCTGCTCTGTCTCATCAAACTAAACATTTGTAACCTATACGTTTTGAAAAATTAAATTTGTTTAACTTTGAAACCGAGAGAAATCAGCGAGTGTAATCGACAAAGAGAACGATCTTTTTCATCTCAGCTCAAATCGTGTTTTACGTCAGTTAGTTTCGTATGATGACATACCATTGCTGCAGATTTCAGCACACGTATCCAACAATGCCTCAGACAGCCCCTCGATGTCATTCTCGCTAAAAACCAAAGAATTACTCCTTGCAATCGCTGAGAAATCTTGATTTCTTAAATTTCCCAGTTTTACGAACATGACTTTTATTTGAGCATCTTTGAGATCATCAACAGCTTGAAAGATCTTTGCACTTTGTGATCCTGAAATGAATTCGATGTCAGAGTTTTTCTAAGCAATAAATTAAAAGTTCCCATAGAATTACGGTATATAGTTATGTTCCCAACAGAGTTATGTTACTGGGTTAATAAATAACACTGACTTTTGTTGACAAACTCGCTGAAAAATTTTAGGCAAAGCACTGAACCGTGTGACAAAGGCTTAACTACTATGTCTTAGGGTTTTACTCTTTTTGGTTTCGATTTAAGGGTAATGACTTGTAATGAGAAGCTTATTTCTACATCTAATTAGTGATGTAGTTCTTGTAGACAGTTTCCATCGCCCAACGTGTCTTACGACGATATTAACCTTTTCACCTTAGAGCACCAGTCTTGACTCGGTTCAAATGATAGTTATATCATTTGTTCTTTAATTAACACCAGTCGAGTCGTCCAAAACATGCACGAATGTGAGCGAATGTGATGTCAGTACTTCATCGCTGAATGTATTACGATTCAAATCCTTCTTTGCACACTGAAGCACTTATTAAGAGTGAATGAGGCGGTAATCGAATGGATAGTAAATTTACCGGGGGGGGGAGGGGGTAGAGGATACATGTAATCAAAGGATTAAGATAAATAAACAGAGGCTGATAAGATGATCTCACACTGGATGACAGATTCCCTCAACTGCACAATCACTCGTTTATGTGTTTGGACTTGATCTTAAGTTGGCGGAAAATTGTATCATTAGCCCATTGTGTTATTCACTTTTGTCTGAGACTCGCATACTCCACAAAAAAACAGCAACCACAACAACAACAACATTTTGAACCAAATATAGACATTATTATACTTAAACCTCAGTGAAATTAATGTCATAATAATTTTTTTCGCACCGTCTGTTCTTCCGTTGGTTAACACCAAAAGAGCCCTTGGCACTTTATTCAGGTTCCTGACTCCATCTCGTGGAACAAACATTTGCCCCATGACTGCAGTCAATCCAAGATCTATCCGAGACAATCCATCGCGGTAATTATAAGGTAACTCCGCGACTTTCCTCTTTAGATCAACCTTGTCTTTGTATCCATTGAATGGGATCGGAAATTCCACCTCTGAACTGAATGTGATTACACTGCTATGTGTTCCAAGTGGAGTTATGTCAAGTTTTTCCATTAGAGTCACAACAATTGACTTTTCTTGTTCCCAAAGTGATGGAGAGACGTAACGAGAGGAGTCCATCAGAATGCCCAAGTCCATCATTTTATGGCAACCTGCTGTAACGGTAAGGATTTAAAAACGTGAGAGCAAGAGACTAAGATAATCATTTGTATAATGTACAGTTATTTCGATGCCTCTTTTTATCTTGTCAAATGGCAACGTTTCATTTGTGATGCCATCTAGTTACAAATAAAGGCAAGATTTAAAATGCTCTGACCATCGTATTGCTTACTAACAAATTCAAACTGGACGTAAGTATGTAATTTGTGATATTTAGACAAGCCAGACCACTGCGATAAGTGTGCGGGTTCTTTAAAGTCGCCTGCTAACCAGTACAGAGAAGTCCCAGAAAGCGAGGCCTACGATTTTTGTCCTTTTCCGAGAGTACTAGAATGCCTAACTATTTACAGATGTCATAGCAAGGGCAGCGCATTCTCCTCAGTTATTTCAAAACCCTAAGTATTGCTCCGGTCCGGGGCTTGCACTCTCGAACTCCAGCACGGCAGTCCGGCGCCCTACAACAGGAGCGTCTGTGATGTGAGGTAGATACATACTGTCACGTTACATGCTCTCAACAATGGTGTTCAACTGGATCAGTAAAGATGTCTTACCAGGGGTCGATGTTGATGGTGTCGTCAAAGGGAATGGAAGTTGAGGTAGTTGTACCACAGGTGGCTCTACGAAATATTTCGTTTGTAGTCTTAGGATTGAGTTCATTATTTTTGACAGCACAGTTCGTGACAGTTTCTTTCAGTTGCTTGATGGTTTAACTAGTAGCTGCTAATCATCATTCGATTTTAGATTTTTTTGTGTGTTAGCAAAATATTTCATGGGGTAAATACAAATTTAGGAGGCTGATCTTTAAAACAAAGGGAGAAAAAACTCGTTCGGCGATCTCCGTTTTCACTGATAGATTGATTGTTACATTACTTGATGGCTTAAACGCAGCTATAGTTAAACTCTGTTAGCAGTTAATAGAGTGCGAGAAAATGAATATATAAAGTACATCATGATTTTAACTTGAAGTAGTGAAACTAATTTAATAAATTAGCGGAGCAGTGCCATACACAGACTTAAATTATATGATGTGCTATGAGGGGTGCTGGAAAACCAAGCCGGCTTTGATGCCAATGATGTAGAGACCTGCTCTTATTCATAATCTATATTTACGAGAAACGTCCTGCGTTAAATAAAGGGAAAATGAATGGGGAAGGGGAAAATCAGAGTTTTGGTTGGGAAATGTTGTCTTCCTTTTAGATGATTTTGGAAGGTAGTTTCATCTGTCCTCTGTAAGGTGTCTCACTGCGAAATCTTGTCCAGTAATACATGAAGCTCCAGAGTCGTTTTTATCAGGAATATCCCATTATACTGCTTTCACGTAAAATATCAGAGTAAAGTGAACCTTTGGAAAACATACTTCTACTTCCCTTTACATTCTCTTGATTTGACTCATTGTAAATGGCTCACCTGGCTCGAGAGCAAGAGGGGAAACTGGTTCTTCTTCGCTTCCAGGAGGCCTACCACTTATTGTTGGTACCTCAGGAAGATGAACAGAGACTGATGCTGGCATGGACGTCTGAGATGGATCTATATTACTCACGTGTTCTATACTGACAACTTGAGCATGTTTGGGCTCAGCTGGAAGTGGGTTGCTAGACACTTCTGAAACTGATGACTCGTTCACCTCTTTTCGTTCGACTTCCCCTATTGGCTGATATTCTACTTCAGTTCGAGGCTCTGCGACAAAAGATGGGATGTATTGCGTAAGATTCCCAAGACCTCACCCATTTGCTTATGGCTTATGTCATTTGCAGATTTGCTTTATCGAATAAAAACCATCGACAGGAACAAACGCGCACTCACAGGCTGTTGGATAAAAGAGAAGCTAAAATACTGCATGCAGCGTAGTAGAGTAACGGTGGAGTATGATAGATTTTGTTTTCATTCTGTAGGTTGTTTTCATTTTTCTTTATTTAAAGGCCCATTTTCATCCGAGATCCTTTGCAGTCGTTTGTTTTTGTTTTGGAATCGCGCTATTGGGGACTTTAAGGAAACCACGACGGCTACGGCAACGAGAACGTGGAAAAACAATACATCTAATTGGCAGAACAATAGCCCAGCACGTGCGTTTTAAAACTTTGTACATTTCTTAGCCGTCCTTTTGCAAAACAACAACGTGAAATCACCAAAATTTGCGTCGTCTGCGCAGCAAAACCGCGGGGGGCAAATTATTTTGATTTACATTTGGAACTCAACACTACTTTTATTCGTTATGTTGAGTTTGAGGTCTGGTGCCCTACGAGACAGTAAACACGTGCAGCCATTTTCGAAATTCTAACTAAAAGTAGAAGCTCATTTTTTAGTCGACGTC